TTTTGTAATACATAAATATATTTCAAATTCAAGTTCAAACAACAACAGGTTTTTATTACTTTTCTTTAGCAAGAACATATGTTTTCGAGCTTTTTAGTTTTTATTTAAATTTTTATAACTTAGATTTTATAAAGACCTTTTAAACAAAAAAAAAAAAAAGTTTTTCGACAGGCATAAATTTTGTAAGAAATTCTATATGTTTAAGCACAGTTCTTAAATTCTAAATTATATGCTTACGAAAAAAAAAAAGAAGAATTTTATGGCCTATTTAATAGATTAAGTTTCGTTTTCTATTTATTTGCTTTATCGGTATTTCTTTGGTATTTTTACTGAGCTTATTTATGGTATTTTCTTTGCGAATTTGCAAATGATTCGCAGGATTTAAATTTCCACCACATAGCGACTGCTGCTAGACGGACTTATCGAGTAGTAGCTGTTCTCTGCAAGAAATTTATGTCAATTAGCCGAGAATTTGTGCAGAGTGGGCGGGCGGACTGAGATTCGGGTTCGGATTCGGAAGTATTTTGCATTTACGCACCTTCGTCGCTGTCGAAGCTGTAAAAGTTGTCGTCGTCGCGTGTCATCGAGCGGCGGCTGCGGCGCGCCTGTGCCTGCGCCTGCGCACGCTGCGACTGCGGCGCCAGCGCCAGAGCTGAGCTGTTGGCGTTCAGCGTGTGGGCCACGGTGGGCGTGGAGCTGCGCCGCCGGCTGTTGCTCAATGGATAGGCCAGGGGCGAACCATACTCGCTGCGACTGCAATTCGAGTTCTGCCGATCTAGGCTGAGCTGCAGCTCTGTCTCAGTCTTAGCTGAGTTGCTGTTGTTGTTGTTGTTGTTTGGTTGAGTTGTCACAATATTGGGTATAGCACTTGGCTTGGCATTTGTTGGCGTTTGCTGCTGCTGCTGCTGCTGCTTGTCCGCCTTCGGCTGCTGCAGCTGCGTTTTCAGCTGCGGCTCTGGCTCTGCTTCTGGTTGTGGTTCGTCATCCGCATCGCTGCATGTGGTCAGCTCCTCGCTGTGCATTCGCCTGGCGCATAGGCGCGGCCTGCCCCCAAAGCGTGAGATGAGCTTGTTCACCTTTCCTACGTCGGCTGGATGCATCTGCTCGTTGTAGGTGAGACGCAGGGAGCTGGTCTTGACCAGCGGCTTGGATGGACGCGTCGTGGAGGCGCTGCGCTGCGGCAGAGTGCCGAGGGTCAAAGGTGCTGCGACTGGCAGGGGTGCAGGGGCCAGTGGTGCCGCTTGCATTGGTGGTGGCGGCGGCTTGCTTATGGGCAGCGGCGGCGGCACTGCATCATATATGGGCGCCACGGTGCTGGGTGGTGGCGGTCGACGCTGCGGCAAGGGCGGCGGTGGCGGCGACTCGGATGGCGGACGTTCCGCCAGGCGTGCAAGATCAACATCCTGGTCAACATTCGCATTCGCATTCGCATCCACATTCACATTTGCATCTGCATCTGCATCCAGATCCATGGCTTCAATTTTATTTGGCACTTCGTCGTCATCCTCCAGCGGCTGCTGTTCCATCAGACTCTCGCAGCTGTTGCCAATCTGCGGCGTCTGCAGTCGTATCCTGGTCACGCGCGAGCTGCTGTCGTCCGCATCCTCGCCGCTGTCGCAGCTGCTGCCGGCGCTGATGCGCAGCATTGGGGCGTTGCGCAGCGCCTCGTCGAAGTCCGCGAAGGCGGCAGCGGCGCCGCCATCGCCCTCAAAGATGTCTATGCTCTTGGGCTTGTACAACGCGGGCGCTGGCCAAGCGCTGGGGCTGCTCATCTGCTGCGCCTTGAAGTCGGCTATGATCTGCTGGTTGGACACCCATTGATGTTTCTCCAGGGCCACGGGCGACGGCACTGGCGGGGGCGTGGCGGCCACCGCCAGAATCAACGTGGACTCGTAGGCATCCGTGTGCTGCTGGTGGATGAGCACGCGCGGATAGTCGGAGGCAGCGGCGGCCAGCTGCTGTTCCACAGTCGCGTCGTCCTCGAGTGATTCGCTGCTCCAGGCAGTCGATGCGCTCGCCTGCAGCGAGGTCAGCGTCTGGCGCTTGGCCAGGACGGTCGGCGATGCGTCTGGCTGTGGCTCCACTTCCATCTGGCCGTATGCCTCATCCGCACACACATTCTGGCCGCTGTCCTCGCTGTCGCTGCTATCGCTGTGGTGATAGGTGGCTTCCAGCTCCTCGTCGTCGATCTCGACGGGCTCGCGGCCAACGGTATTCGGCTTGTTGCCCGCCTCAGCTCGGTCAGCGCCGGAGCGCTGAAAAAACTTGAGCTGCTGCATCTTCTCGTTCAGCTTGGTCATCGTGCGCTCCAGGTGGGCGCCCATGCCGACGAAGCCAAAGGCGGCGCCACTTGCAGCGCCACTAGGCTGCTGTGCCGCCTGCTCCTGGCTGTCGCTGTTGCTCTTGAAGCTGCGGCGCCAGCGCTGCTGCAGCTGCTCGCTGGAGGCAAAGCGGCGCAGGCGCGCGCGCAACGTGTCGCCAGTGCTTGAGCGAGTCTTGGACTTGCGCTGCTGCTGCTGCTGCTGCTCCTCGTCGGAGTCGGAGTCATCAGCGGCTGGCCTGGCGGCCGGCTGCTGCACGCGCTTGATGGACTTGCGCAGACGCTTCAAATTCTGACGAACTGCCTGGCGCACGGCCTGCGGCTCCCTTGGCTTCTGCGGCTGCTGCTCCTCCGACTGATCCTCCAAGGGCATCGGCAGCGGCGGCTGGCGCACTCGAGCGAACCGGGTGGCGGCTATGCCCGTCTTCTTGCGCGGCACCGGCGGCACCTGCTGCTGCTGTGGTATAGCCTCCTCCATGCCGCTCTCGTCGCCGCTGTGCTCGGCGACGCTGCGTCGATGCTGCTGCTGTTGCTGCTGCTGCGCCTTCAGCGTATTCTCCCGGGTAATGGGCAGCGTGCTGATGTGTATGTCGTAGTTGTCGGCTATTTGGCGATCGCGGCGTGCCTGCGCCATCTGCTCGACGCGTCGCTCCGCCTCGTACTGCTCCACGTAGCGATCGACCTCGATGCCGTCGCGCCGGACGACTGTCTGCTTGGCGAACAGGTGCTTCAGCCGCAGCTCGCTAAGGCTCTTGTAGCCGCGCTGCAGGCGCTGCGTTAGGCTGCTGCTGCCGCTGTTACGCAGCGTCGGCGTCGGCGTCGGCATCGACGCGTCGCCCGGGGCCATCGTTGGCGGCACTTTAACGGGACTAATCGGGCGTGACACGCGTGCTGCTGCGCCATATGGTGCGTAGTAGTCGTCGTCCAGGCTGCCGGCGCTGCGGTAGGTGCCGCCCGCACTCGGCTGCAGATTCTGCGGCGCCACCTGGTCATGCTCGTGCTCGTGCATCAGCGAGCTAATTGTCGATATGCGCTGCGGCGTCCGATTGATGAACTGTGCCTGCGCCATGCCCATGCCCGACACCTCCGATTGCAGCTCAGCAGCTGTCGCAGCTGGCGCCTCCTTGCCGCTGCCATTGCCGCGCGAGCCGCGAAAGATTCGACGTGCAGCGCGCAGCTTGGGCAGAGACTTTGGCAGCTTCAGCTGCGGCAGCGATGTCAACTTGGCTGAAAATAAATAGAGTTGAATTAGCCTTGATCGTCACTTATGGTTTGATCTAGTTCAAATGGTTCAAGTACGGAACAAGTTCACACTGCTGACAATTGATATCAATTTATTTCATACATTTGATGGAATCGATAAAAAGAAAGAAAAAAACTGTTGGAGTATCCGACTAGAAAACACACTCAGTTCCGCTCAGTAAATAGAAATGTGCCAGAATTCTATATAACTGGAAATTTAAGTGTTTTGCATATTTTATTTATTTTTGTTTTCAATATCCGACTAGAAGATACTCTAACAGCACATTCCGTCATTTCAAAAATTAAAGTGTTTTGAAATTTTTTTGTATTTTTGAGTTTATATTCGACTAGAAAATACTGCTATAAATTTTTTAATGTCTGCGACAAATTAATATATTTTTGAGATTTTTATAATTGTTGGTGCTATAGAAGATACTAATAGTACCAAGCATGAAAAGTCAAAGTATTTTCGAGAATTTTATGTTTTTATATGTGTTTCAACCACTGGAAATGAGCTCTAAGGATAAACCTTGAAGATCGTTTGTCTACTATCTAAGTTCAACGCTTTCACACATGTGGACTGTTATTAGTGCATGTTTTAATACTTGTTATAATAAAGATACTTTGTATACTGGTTATAATAATCGTAAACCTCTTTTATTTAAGCAGTTTTAACAGTTGTCAAAGCCCCAAACAATCTAACACTTGCAGTCCACACGGTCTATGCCATGTGAACTAGTTCATTTAGGCAGCGAACTGAAGTATTCCAAAGATATGCGCTCCCTCACACTTCTTACGACTGCTGTAGTCATTATGTGAACTAGTTCGCTGTTGCAGTCAGTGAAAGTACAAACACTCCAAAGTCAAATACTGCTTAGCACTTGCAATTAGCATTGGCTGATGCACGAACAGCGTGCCTAAGTCTAAGTGGAAATACTCATGCACCCCATTGCAATGCTAACCTTTCAGATTCTCGACATCCAGACGCTGGCACAGATTGCGTAAATCCATAATGCCCTGGTGACTGTGACCGCTCCGCTCCGGTGGCTGCTGCTGAGGCTCCTGCTGATACTGTAGATGGCTCATTGATGCAGGTGCGACGTTCTGGCTATTGCGATAGTAGCAATCAACGTCCGTTGCAGTGCAGCATTTTTACCAGTTTGATGTGCAGCACGTTGTTGGCGTTCGCAGACAGCTCGGTACTGGAGAAGATCCGTCCGTCTAATGCTAATTCAATTAGCGTTCGTTTCTAACCCTTGCTTTCTGGCATTCCAATGCTAACTTGCCCTCGTCTCGTATTGGCCCTGTCTGTCTCTGGGTCTCGCTTTCTATCTCTCTCTCTCACTCTGTCTCTCGAGTCGTCTTGCGTTGCACGTTGCCGTTGTTGCGTTCTCGTCTGACACATTTTCCGTTGAATGGCATTTGGGAATTAGGTCTATGACGACGACGACGCACAGCACCAACAACACAACCAGCCCCCATATCATCAGACCCAAACTATTTTTAGTGTATTTGTGCGCATTTTGCAGTTGATTCATTGACACTTTCAACATACCCTGACCACTAGTTGAAGGCGGGTATAAACGACTTTTACGTAAATAAAAACAGCATTTTATTAAAAACTTTTTATACTCCTTTATATTTGACTTTTCGCCAAGTATAGTTGTTTTGCACGAAGCTGTTTAAAAGCAATTCTTGTTAAGTTTTCTCCTATACATTGTGGCTTCATATTATATCTATAGCTATCAAGTCTTCTTATACTTGATAATCTAATCTGTTCTAATCAAGTTTTCTTACTTTTTCATTGTAGCAATAAATAGCGATTTTAACTCAAAGTCTCTTAAAAGCGACTGAACGAGTCTTAAATTCGTTATATGTAAGTTTTTATCACAGAGGCATTTAAAAGAGTTTTCTCCCTCTCTTGTCCTATAGATAGATTTTGACTGCATATATTTTCAAACTAAATTTTATTGTTTTTTTTTTTTTTTTATAATATCGATAATTATCGATTTATGTACAGAAACTTAAAAAAGCATTTATAGTCCCAAACCAATTTACTTTAACTAAAGACATTTCTAGAGATAGAGAAAGGGTACCAGCTAGTCATGGACCACCGCCTCAAGCAGTTTTACTTATTTTGAAAATCGTTTTTCGGTTTTCTTCTCTCTGTCTCTGGCGCTGGGGCTCGTCAGTTGTTGACCACTTCCGATGACAGCGAGCGTAGCTGTCAATTCGTTGGTTTCTCAGTGACTTTTTTTTTTATTTTTATTTTTTTTTTTTGTTGCACCCACAAAAGTAATAATTGCAATTATCGATTTTTAAGTTCGGCCTCTGACGGTCGTTGTTTGTCGTTCACATTTATCGGTTTTTCTTTGGCTAAGCGCACAGCGTGATTCTGAAACACAATTCGCCTCGCGCTGGGTTTGTGTGACCGCAAGTCTAATCAAGCGATTACACGAATCACCTAGATATAGACCGTTAAGCGCACATTCAAGGGAATCAGATTTGGAATTGAATTGAAAGTATCTATAAGATTAAAAGCAGACAACTGAACAAGCTTCTATTGAAGAAAGGTAAATAATGAAATGTGACTTCAGTTCGTAGGAATCTTATCTTTTCGATCCATATTCGATCTCTATTAAATGAAAATAAATCAACTATGTTAGCTTGTGCTATCAATGAGGCTGCTTGTATTCTTATTAAAGCTCGGGGTAGAAATTATATGATAAATTCTTAAGATTTTGAGGATAAAAAACTTGTATAGATATGAACAGGGATAATTTTTGTGAATCATATGCATTCGCTAAACATAATGTATCTAAATTTGCTCTAAAATTGCAAAAATTCGAGAAACAAGAATTTGTAAATAAAAAACAATCTGTTAAATAGTAAACAATATAGAAGCAATTTTTAAAAATAAAATTAAAAAAAAAGTAATATCTGACGAACATAATAATAATATATTTTCTCTCTCTACTCTTCTATTTGCAGAAAACACACACAACAATAGCAACAAGAAAAGAAACAATAACAAAAGTATCAAATAAAAGAGCTATAAACTTTTACGACCGTCAGCTATATATAGTATATCTATTATAATAGTTATTAGACAAACGAGGAACGTTTGCCGTTTAAGTGTGAAAAAGTAGCTCAATGTGTCCTCTTCTTCTTCTTCAGCAATCGTGCATGGAAAGGAAAAACGCTCACTTGGATGCAATTTTCATTAGTGAGAAAATTGTGAGAACCTAAGCAAGAAAGAGCGAAGCGAAGGAAAAATACAACAAAACAAAAGCGAAAAATATAAATAAATAGAAAATAAAAGAAAACATTCCAGACACAGTACAATTGCAGCACGACGAAATTGACAATACAATTGCGCTGATAGTTGTAGATCCCAGGTTTCGCAGAACGGGGCACCGACAGTGTGTGGGTGTGTGTCAGTGCATGTGTGTGTGAATCCACAACAACAGCAGCAGTAGCAGCAGCAGCGACAACAACAACAATTGCAGCACAGTTGAACAACAACTAAAATGCGGCGGCAGTCAACGATGCTGGCCGCGATATTACTGGCTGCCATTTTGGGCAGCTCAACGGCAATGAGTAAGTCGAAAGTCCAATTTCAATTTCAATTTCAATTCCAATCCCGATTCCAATTTCAATTCCAATTCCAATGCCGAGCCTAAATCCCAATCAGAAACCCATGTCCGCCAACTGTGTAATCTGCATCTAATCTCTAATGAAAGCTCATAAATTCATAGCAGATCTCGTGTTCAGCTTTCGCTGCAACAATTCTGCTCTTCAAGATCTTTGATCGATTGATTGCTTCAAAATAGATCATTATGAATACATTTAAGTTATTAAATTTTCAAGTTTTGTCCATAGCTAAATATTGAATAATTATCATCTTTAGATGGTTTATTAGACCCCCTTTTAATTATCAATTAGCTAGGCTACATTTTGTATCCATGTGATCTGAACCTACTGAAATCTTATTTATTTATTCTTTAGTTATTATGTGTAGATTTTTTAACTACATTTGATATACTTGTGTGTCTTAATGATTTTATTTTTTGAATTGCAGTTTAGTGTTTTATTGTTTGTAATATTAAACATATATTTGCTTTAACAAGCGAAATCTCTTTTACGGTTCTTCTGTTCATATTTATATGAGCTAAATATCGTTTCCAGTGACAATCAAAAACCATTATATTTTACAAGCAGTCTTCATTTCTTTTGTATCTTCAATTTTTCAATTCAGTTCGTGCAATCCCCTTATATGCTTGATCCGTAAACGTTTAATATTTAACTTCAAGCATTTGCTTGATCTAGAGATCTCTAATATTGAACTATTCTTAGTAGAAGTTGTAGATGTTGAAAACTTTATTTATGTACTCATTTTTGGGAGTAGCCGAATTTGACAAAGAATTTTGTTAAGGCCCACCTGAGCCACTCTCCCAACCGAGCACTATTGAGCCATAAAAATAGCCACTGACTGCGACAGATTTCGTTATAAATAAATGTGGAAAACAACTTTTTAAGTGGACCAAAGAGACTAGAAATAGAGCGTGCCAGAGAGTGAGATTTACGCCCTAATTTATGTGCCAAATTAGTGAAGTCTCCCCCTCCCCCTAGTTGTGCGAGCAACGCTGTGCCCAATAGCTAAACTGACGGTGCTGCTTCTCCTTCTTATTGTTCTTCTCAGACAATTCCCCGCCCCGGATCATCAAACAGCCTCCCACAGATGAGCTGCTTTTCAAGGTGGCGCAACAGAACAAAGAGAGCGACAAGCCATTCATTATTGAGTGCGAGGCCGATGGACAACCGGAACCGGAGTAAGTACACATTACATATGATATTTTATATTAACATATACGTATAATATATATGATAGTCCAATACAAACACATTCCGTTTTCTATATTTAGCGTAGATCAAGTATTTGGCAATTTACATAAATCAATTTAAAGCAGGCCCATGCCAAACGGCAATTCGTATAGAAACTGATTTAGTTTTTCCCCTCTCTCCCTCTCTCACAGTCTCGTTAAACTATATTTATGTAGTCTGTATGTTTATCCTCTCTTGTTTTCTACATTTTGAATGTCTTCTGCGATTGTCTGCTTTTAGATTCGGTTTCTAAATTTTATAAAAAAAAAACAAAAGCAATTCACATATTTATGAATAAATTGCTTCAGAACTATGTATTACAGTAATATTCCATTTGGATTTCATTTCATATTTTGATTCTGATTGAAATTCTCTTACGATATTTTTGCAAATACAAAATTTGGAGTGGTCTAGGATATGGTTTGATTAATCTATCTTAATATCATTTGTTGAAAAA